GTCTCACACTCTCGGAATTCGTATTCGTGGCTCCGAATTCAATCTTGTGACAGAAAATCGTTACTTTAATAAGACTTACTTATGATAAGATGATCTTCAATCATAATAAAGCCCGCTATGCTGGTTTAGAGGCATATTTTTATTTTATTAATTTTTTATTACTTGCAGAATTGTTTTCTATTTGTGGTCAAATCGTAGATCATATGATTCGTGTGATACTATCGGACCAAGTTGATCCCGCTCTTATCAAACAGTCATTTAAATGCTGTGGTGTTTCTACCACTCAAGATGGGTCTGAAGAAGATTTTATGTTCAATTATAATTGAGTAAAAAATCCAGATAGTCAAAATAAGAATAGAAATTCAATGTATATCAATGTAGATGATGTAAGTGATAGTAAAAGTGTTGTTGATTTAACTTGTAATGATGATAGTGATAGCAGAGATGATAGCTTGAATAAAGATAGAGACGAAGACGAAAACCAAAATAATAATGACCTGAATAAGAATAAGAATGGGGATGAAAATGATTGGGACAAGGATGGGAATGAAAATGAAGACAGTTGGAATATAGACAACAATGAAGATAGTTTGAATGAAAGCAGTTCTAGTAATTCGAATCAGCCATTTAAACTGGATGAAAATTATGAAGAGGATATATATTATAATGATGAAATAGCCGATTATACTAATGTCTGGGATTAAGTAAAGAATCTTCCAGTGTAAGTTAATTCAACAAAAAAATGCATAAGTTAACTAGAAAAATCAACTAATATTAAACCTTCAAATTTTAGTAAATCATGAGGTAATTTGTTGCATGGCATGCAAATATGAAGAACTTGAAGATTTAAATAAATAATTAGAAATTGAAGTAATTGTAATTCATTTGCAAATAAATAATTATGGATATTAAGAAATAAAATAAATAACTACCGGTATTTGCATTTTGTAGTCTTAATAAAATTAGCAATGCATTTCATTAAACAATCATGAATAAGCATAATATTTAAGTGTAATGACAATTTATACGTAGCTTTAAAATTTTCATTGAATTATAGCTTTAAAATTTTCATTAAATTATGGGAATTATAGCTTTAAAATTTTCGTTAAATTATAGGAGAATTTACACAAAACCCTAATGTTCGTTTTGCTATAAGATCACTCGCCTTATATGAAATTGCAATTAAAAAAATAATATGCAGCTATCAAGTTTTATTTGTAATGAGCATTTATTTGTGTTATGTATAGCATAGAGGTGTCATTTATATGAATGCATAAATTTATTTCTGCCTGCGCCTTCGATTACCAGTTTGTATATTACGTTTGACATAACAATAATATTTATGATTATTTTATAAGTACCGTAATTAGAAAATCTAGACGAAAGAAATTTATTAATAGATAAGTGCCTTGTAGTCATATGCCATATTTATACTCATATATTTCTTTCTATAGACCCGGGTCTTTTAATACTTCTTTCTTATAATATACCTGGGTCTTATACATTTTATACTTATATATTTCTTTCTATAGACCTGAGTCTTTTAATACTTCTTTCTTATAGTATACCCGGGTCTTATACATTTTACCAAAGTCTTGACCTATATTATAGACCTGGGTATACTACCCGGTGGATCTACTATTTTGGGGGGTCTTGTATGTAGCACTTTACGGTACTTTAGTCTTCGCGATTATATGTTTTCTTCTTTATTTATAAAGAAGAAAATATATAGTTGCGAGGACTAAAGTACTTATATCTCGCGGTCCACAGGGCCGATTTTTAATGGTTTAACCTCGATTTTGATCACAAGAAACTCCTCTACAACTTTATTTAAAGCTTGAAAAGATGTTTATTTAGTAAAGAAAAAAGTTTTCCTTTGGGAAACTCCAGATTCCAAAAAAGGCAAAATTTAATAGTAAATTTCTCCACAATTTACTAATTAATTTCACTGGTTCTTATGTGGATCATGAATTAAGCATTATAAAATATCATGTATATAATTAATATATAATTTCAAGTTAATTATATAAATAAAGAAAAACTTAATTAATAAATTGATATTTTAAAAAGCTGAAGGCTTTTAATTAATATTCTAAAACCCATTAATGAATATTCATGATCTAATAGGTATACTATAGCGAAAGTGATAAGGAAAATATGAATAGTGAAATGGCTAGTGAAATAGCTAGTGAGGATGAAAAGGATAATATGAATTAAATCTTTAATTTTTAAATGAAAAAAAACTAATATTCTTTTTAAAATAAACTTTAAATAGCAATAATGAATGAAACTGTATATTAATATATGTAAGTAACTAGTTAATTTAACTTGAATTTAACTAGTTTTTAATAACTGGTTATATAAATTTTATAACTAGTTTCATGTAACTAGTTAAAACTAGTTTATGTAGTTAACTGCCAATTTGTAATTGATATAGTTAGTTTTTAACGAGTCAACATCTCTAATCAGCACGAATAAGAACCTAATAATAAATACATAGGTTATAAATAATATTGACTGAATCGACCTGAATAAAAGATTGTTTATCGACCAAATCGGTACGGACTAAAAAGTGCATACATTGTTTTCGAATACTTTGATTAGCAAAATTATTTTATACTTACCGGTTAAATTTATAACCTAAATAAGTGACTTAATGTAGAATGGCGGATAATTTATAATCTTCTCGAGATAGAATAACTTAAAGAGCAGCAAAAATTTTTTAGACATATTTTAGACTATACTTACAGACTAATTTAATATAAATATAAAGAAATGGCTTATTTTAAATACACCCACTCTTATGATCATTACCGACTAAATCAATGAAATAAGAAACCAAATTAAAAGTGAATAAGTACTATTTATTTTTCGCAGCGGCGGGTAAGTGCTCTCATATAGCCGGAGATATTACCCCGCAGTGAAATTTGTAGGATGTCTTGATGGTGGCATCTTTATAAAATACGTATTGATATACACGGGCCCAAAGCATAAATATCCGATACCAATAGTTAACTATTTATGCCAAAAATCTAATCTCTATTGGCATATATCAAAAAAAATATCAGAAGCATATCAGGTAAAAAATAAATATTGGGTATCTGATATGCAAATAGTTAGCAATAATTAACTATCGGGTATCGGATATTTATGCTTTGAACTGTAATACTCTTGCTATACAGATTTGATCATCGTGATAAAACCAGTACAGTAAATGCTATAAAATTTTCAAATTTATGACCATCACTGATCTTTTATACGCGTTGGATTGGGTTTCGGATCTTCAAGCATGTTTACAAACTTTCAGACCGGACTCAAACCAAACCAAAAATTTTGATATTCGAACACGGACCGAACTGAGCTTTAAAATAGTTTGAGTTCGAGTCCGGTTTGAATTTCAAATTGGACTCATAGGGTCTAATTGATTTTTGTAGACCTACCCATGATTATTAGCCAATCAAATTCATAGCTTTATTACAATATTGATATTAACTATTAACGAAAAACTAATACTCTAAACCATATAAATAAGTTACCCGGGCAATTGGTTTGCATTAGCCAATCAGACGAATTTCTGCCTATGAATGGACTTGCCTAAAGTCCGGCCTCACTTCGGGTCCGTCGGAGCCTTACCCCCTATACTCTATTAAAATTAATAAAGAGTAATACTGTATATGTTATCCTCATAAAGGGAGTTGTAAAAAAGAAAAAAGAAAAGGAACCAAAAACTATCTATTTTTAATACCAGTTCCAGTAAACTTTAGGCTTATAACCATTTTTATGCATCCAGTTCTAGCTAACAAACTTCATGTTTAAAAAAAAATTATTTAATAGATAAAATTATTTAATACAGTAATAAAGAATAGTATAATAAAAAAAAAATGCTGATCGATCTACTAGTAGCAAAAAAGCTTAGAAATTATTTTATTATCTACTCATTAATGTATGGTTGAGAAAGGCTCAAATATTCGTTTTGGTCAATATGATTGCACCTTATTTAGTAACGATCGTTAGTAGGATTTCCATGACTTTTCAAAAAAAAAAAAAAAATCTTTTTTTTATATTAGAACGATAGTATAAAAAACTAAAACTATACATTGATTTCAAGCTTATAACTTAGCAGGCTCGGCTTCTAAATCTGATTAGCAATATACGTGTGTGATCTGTAAATAAATTTAGTTACGTTATTATTTTATCTCATTTTTCAAAGTTATAAACTTTAAAACTCGAAGCTTATCTTTCCATTACCCGTATATCATACCCGTATATCTTGATTAAAGCTTTTAACAGGTAAAATTTCTACTTAATTTATAGAATCGATTTAACTGTAATTTTAATCTTATATACCTTTTTATTTATAATCGCAGGCTTTAGATTTTTACTATTACAAGATATTTTTTACCGTGCTTACTTTATTTATGCTAATACAGTAAATATTATTTACGATTAATCAATGCATTTAAGGTACGTATTCAAATTCATTGATATTTATGACTCATTGGCATTAATTCACGAATAAGCATGATTATTTTTTAATCGGTGTATTACAGCTGTTTTCATAAATTCTGGGACACCTAAAAATTTTCTCGTTTCCCGGAATCTTTTCGGTTTCGTCCGGTAAAGTACCTAACTCTCCGGAAACTACATCGCTGTCTCCGGACTGAAGGTTCGAAAATAGCGATGTAGTTTCCAGAGAGTTAGGTAATTTACCGTACGAAACCGAAAAGATTCCGGGAAACGAGAAAAATTTTAGATGTCCCAGAATTTATGAAAACAGCTGTAATAGCTGTCGGTGAAATGAGTGTCAGTGAAATAGGATGCCGGTGAAATGAGATGTCGAGAAAGTGGATGTCGGAGAAATGGATTCGGGGAAGTGGGTTGTCGAGGAAATGGGTTGTCGGGTAAGTGGGTTGTCGTGGAGGTGGGATGTCAGCGAAATGGCTGTCGGCGAAATTGGTGTCGGCGAAAGAGTTGTCGGTAAAATTGGGATATACCGTGTAGGATTAAGGTATGAATATTTAACATTACATAATATTTTTTTATTTGTTCGCTCATTCACGCGGATTAGTTGGTAACATGACAATTGTTTATTTATTCTGTAATTGATGGATTTAGAATAAAGTATTCAAGTTTACTGTTAAATAATACATCAGGTTCGTTTATTTAGCAGTAATTATAAAGATCATTTATTAATTTAAATAAAGTATTCGTGTTGAAATAATATTCATACTATATTAACAAATAATAAAAAATTTTGATTCAAATTTATAAATTAAAAAATTGCTCTATTTAAAATTATGTATTTAAAAACTTTATTAAAAATTACAGTATATAGTTATTAAAAATTTAATTTAAAAATACACATATAAATTTATTAATAAATCTGATAGCTTCTAATAAATCGATCAACTTATTGGATTAATGTAATTCCTAATGAATCGTCGGTATTGTCCCTGATGGAATAAAAAAAAAAGGACCGTTCCCGATAGGGGTCTAAAAATTATGCTACTATCAAGTAAAATACGGCGCAGAAATCTGACAGTCCCGATATTAATGTTAAATCCGATTGCAAATTCAATATGTAATATACAATTCAAAAAAAATAAAACGAACCAGTATGGCAATTAGCTTTCTACTTGAGTAGAACTTTCCAGTACAAATATCCTAAAAGTGTTCATGTTTAGGTAATGTCGAGATCAACGTTATGGATTAGTCACAAATCATGACCTGAGTATTCCCATTATAAATAAGTATTGTTGTGAGAAATCTGCATCGAGGTTTCTATTAGGAATGGTACATACAGTGAATCGTTTTTTTTTCACTCTATCGGGAGCAGTACCGACACTCAATCAGGAATTGGATTTTTGCGACCAATGTTATTAAAGTAAAATTAATAAATGTTCACGTACCGGAATGTCTTCATAAATCTAAACATCTTATGCCAAATGCTTTATAAACCTGAATGGCTTATTTTAAATATTTCATCAGTCAAATAGCTTACTTTAAGTGATTCAGCAACCTCGAAGAATTTAATCCAAATACGATTTCAAACATATACTTCATAAATCTGAATTGCTTGCCTTAGTGCTTTATAAATCTAATTAGGTTATATCAAATGCTTCATAAATTCGAATAGCTTATTCTAAATAATAAATACTTGTGTATTAGAAACCTAAATAGCTTATTTCAATACTTTGATTCATAAAATTCAGCAGAAAATTACTTAGCTGCTTTTTGACTGTCGTAAATCAGCGTATATAAGGCCCTCACGATAATAATTCCATTTATTATATCTAAGTGCGAACTACGGGATCAAGTTTGCATGTTTTTTAAAAGTTTTCTCTTAATTATATACTCTCAACTACAGAACAGTGTACTAGATCCGGGCCTTGCACACCGTGATTGCATTCGTCATTTTTATAATTCGTAGATCTTGCCTGATACTCTTAACTAACCATGCGAAAATACATAAAAGACCTCTCATTCTTGGCTTCTAGTAATCAAACAAAAAGGTCGCCTGAAATACCACTTAATCAGCAAATTTTTTTATTATACACTAAAAAATTTTAAGGAAAAACTCTACCTTTAGGTCTCATTTACCTTTTTAAAGACGGTTTGTTGTAAGGGATTTAATTGGGATGATCGAAAGTAGACATTTTACAACCAATTTTGTAATTTCAAAATTCGTAGATCACCCTAAAAATTTATTATTGGCGGGTATAATCATGAGTTCTAGATTATGTATTATATTGATATCGATGTAGTATCGGTATGTTTTATTAAAATACGTATAATAAATACAAAAAATAAAATAAAATAATGATTTTTCTAGACTGACTGTACTATTTGACATCGATATCAATATCAATATAATACATAATCTAGAACTCGTGATTACCCGCTACCCATCCCGATAATAATTTTTAGGGTGGTCCACGAATTTTGAAAGTAGCTGTAAACTAACTATATATAAAATTTTATGAAACCTTCAAAAGAAAAGGGCGTAAAAAAAAGTGACAGAGCCAATCAAATTTCGCTGATTATTCTAGAACTCTAAATTCCAAATTTGAACGGTGTTTTGAGTCCATATGTCTGTATGTTTAGAGATGACGAGGAAACACTGCCTCTATACAAGATAAAATAATAAATATCTACACAAGCTATAAAAGAAAAAGTGCCATCACTATTTGTTGAAACGTTTGAGTATTAGTTAAGGATCGGTTTATTATTGAACGATCTGGGCAAGGGTAAATTTTTGGATGCTATTTTTTTTCTTTTTTTTTTAGAAAAACAGCCTTTTAAACTTTCAACTAATGATTAAAATATATATACATTGTAATATTCTATATATTAATTATGGATGTTTTAAAAGACTGTTTTTGTAAGAACCAAATCTGCTCACGTTGAATTTTTTATAACTGAACATTTTTAATATTATATACTAGTGTATTCGCATTGACGGTTTTGAAGGTTTTTAAATATAAATATATTTGTAATTTTATCATATAGCGACATTTTCATTAAATACTCGTAAATCTGTTGCAAAAAAATAGGTTTTAAATCACAATAGCTACAGTAGTTAGGCGAAACTTTCTATGTGATGACAAAAGACGGAAACGACAAAGAAAGTCACCGCCACAATTCCTCATGCATTTTTTATGCCTAAATAAGGCATAAATCGTTATATTGGAGTCAGTTAAAGGTTGGTGTTCATATGTTCTTAGCGTTATGGTGCCAGAAATCTCAATTATTGCCAGGGCTGGTAGTGTTTATATTTTAAATCGTTTCCAACTTCAGTCGCGACAATTATTTAGTTGAGGTTTTCTGCACCATCTGAGTGTGTTTTCATTACTCTCAATATTAAGAGTGTGGAACATTAACGAGAGTAGTAAACAAGTGCTACGCCTCATCTTTACGAGGGTGGGGAAGAAGAGCGTCCAGGCAAAGAGCTTCTGCGGCGTGCACAAAAGTGGGTGCTATGCCCCATCTTTACGAGGGTGGGGAAGAAGAGCGTCCAGACAAAGAGCTTCTGCGGCGTGCATGTCACTTTTCTATTGGGTTCTTTGATGCTACTGATTCCAAAAGAGGATCAGTTATGTACATCTTTAGTCTTTAAAAGAACCTTACTCACAATTATTTTTTTTTTTTTGCATAATATTATAGATGTGTACTCGAAATTAAATTTTTTTAACAAGGCGGAACAACAGGTTCAAGCAATTATAAATGCTTCAAGCCAGATGAATATAATTCAGAATAGATTTATTGATAAGAGTAAGAAACGCAAATATGATTTGCAACCTGATAAATTGAGACCAAGCAATTCTTTTAATTTAATGTTCCGAAATATAAATGATCATAATAATGAATTACACACTCACATCATATTTTATGAGGGAAGGGAATTCGCAATAGAAATAATAATGATAAAACCCTTAACCTCGTTCCACCAGGACCATTCCACCGGAGAACGCTGCATCTCAAGATAATGAAGCCTTGTATGAATTTCACACGATGCAAGTAAAACGTGTGCATGATGAAGTTGCGCAAAATGATGAAGCTTATCGAAATAAGCTGGTAATTCGCGGAAGTGTTCAGTTCCAGTTGCTAAATATATTAATCCCAACCCACTTAGTAAGTTATAAAGAATAATTTGTTAGAATTTAAAAAGATAAATTTGCATTAACTAACTAAAATTTATTTTAATCCAGAGCATTTTGCTGATACTGAGGTTAATGGGCATATCAACTTTTATATTGCCCCAGAAAAAACCATTCATGATTTAAGTCAAAAGATCATAGAAGATCTTTGCAACCGTAACTTCTCTAGGAAGGGTTATACAAGAGAACATAACCCTAACTGCATTTTACATTTTTAGAAGGGCATCACCAAAGTGGAAAACCCACTTTGATTACTGCTAAAAGAAGGAGAATCAAAATTTTGGAAATCTGTTTGCAAATCGCTTACAGCTGTTTTCATAAATTTTGGAAACTGTCGGTTCGATAAGTTTTTGTGCAGTGATAAACTTCTCGGGTTTCTGATTTCGAATTAAATTATTTATTTCGAAACCAATTATTCATAAATCTTATTTAATTTGATTTGTAAGCTTATTTATATAATAGCAATAATAATTAACACTTTATGATCGTGAATTTTCTCTCGAAACTTGATAAAATGTCTTATATTCTGATCAACAATTACATATTAAAGACGTATTGTAAAGAGTATTTTAGAAATATTAATAGAAGAATATTCTAATAATACTCATAATAAAAATATAATTAATATTCTCAAAAAGAAATCGATGAACTGTTACAAACAATTGAATTAGATCGATATCTTATGATTTTTTTCATGTTCTTTTCTTTAGTGTTTGTTTAAAAGTTTTTGGGAGGCATATTATTTTATTAAATATTAATAATTCGAAAATAATTATGTAATATCATTTAAGAGTTTTTTAAAAAATGTAACCGATAATTTGTAGTTCTTTATTAATTTATTACGATAGTATCATTTAATAACAATACATTGTCAAAAAAAAAAGGGTACACATTTTATCTCCGGATAACTCCTATTTCATTTTCTGTTTTCAAATTCAAAACAGAAATAGGATATTTTGTACCTCTACTTATTTTGAAATAAGTTAATTATAAATCACCCTAATGAAACAAAACTTATCGAATCGGCAAATATTCATTTTGCCAGATTTTCCAGAATTTATGAAAACAGCTGTAAAGCATATTAATATCCGGATCCGTACGGTTAACCGGATATCCGGGTGTTTTCATAATTCCTAGGACACCTGATAAAATTTAGTCGTATGATTTTTCGGCCGATCCGATTAAGTTATTGATTTCGGTAATTTTTAATGTTGATATTATATACGTAATAACGATAACTATGATATCTACGTCACAAATTAAATTACATCGTTGGTCCGATTTCAAAAATTATCCCCCATATTTAATTGATATTAAACATATCAATATCCTTACTAAAAACATGTTCAATAAAATTTTCATAATCAATAGAATTAATAGAACCTTCTTGAATACAATACGATAAAAGACCATTAACACACAATGCACCTTCTATGGTGAATCGTCTTCCTCGAACAAAAAAATGTATTTTTTTGAGCAGCATTCCTGAAAAATTCCAGCCATAGCGTTATGATAGCGTTCTTCTGCCATAAGCAGTTTCATCTAAAAAAAAAAAACTCACTTGGTGTATATTGAGAGATTCGTAAAATGAAATTGGTTCTATCATCTTCATTTATTTCTTTTGCGCGTTGGAATCATTGTTATAAATTTATAAAATAAAAAATATTTATAAATATACGAAATATTACCTTTTTGTGTGTATATTCAGAGTCAGTACGGTATATAGCCCAACCAAAGTTCTATCTCGGATTGTAATTCATACAAGGTTTTTCGTTCATAAAGTTTTAAGATATTTTATATCGTTCATGTTTAGAGAGCGTGGTTTTCTTGAAAGCGACGGAAGTTTTTCAATACAGCAATATCTTTGAGAATGCACAAGTACCCGACTTATAGAAGACCCACTAACACCCAAGTGGTTTGCAATTTTTCGAATTGATAGGCCTTTAAAGTTTTTTTTTAATAATTTGCCAGTGAATGTGCTTTGAAAGTATCATATTTTTTTGAATTCAACAAGAGATACGCATAATCTTACTGTATATTAATTAAATTACGTATATTATTTCAATTTTTATTGAATTTATTATGCCGAAATAATAACTTAACCAGATCTGCCGAAAAGTCATTCGGCTAATTTTTTTATCAGGTGTCCCAGGAATTATGAAAACAGCTGTAAAAATGTTTTACGGATTGACATTACGGGATCAACTGTCTAATGGTTATTTTATTGACAGTTTGTGTATTACCATTATATATACTACAATAAATTTTTCTATTTAAACTTTCCATTTGTTGAACTGATTTCGTTTTTAACTTGATTCGGATAAATGATGTTTATCATTATAACGGTTTGCTTTATCAATAGGTATTAGTATTGCAAAATTATTTTACCATTTATTCGCACATATATAGCGGATAAATTTTCTATTTTAAAAATTTTTTCATATAGCGGGTCTGATTTATTATTTACTCGATTTAGCCGAGGAGCTTGTAGTGATAAAGCAATATTATTGCAAGATTATCCGCAGCTACCACTGTCATAAACAGTGCAAGGACCTTATGTTGATGGGTAAGCTCTGCAATTGCCGTAGGCAAGGACCTCGTGTTAATGAGTAGATTCCGTGACTGCGATAGCAATGCAGGGCCTATAGAATGTAACAATCGCGTTACTACTACTCGTTAGACGAGATAGTAACGGGATAGCAATATTCTGTTATGGTTGAATATTTGTTCATGTTTTGATATGGAACGTATAATGATAATTATAAGTTATTCACGAGTATTTTTCATTCGGTCTGCAGGTATGAAGTACGTTCATTAATCCATGTATTTGAAATTGGCTTTTTATAAACATTTATTATTTAATTCACTCATCGCATTAATCGTAAGTATAAAGAATTTTATTACCTTAAATATTTAGAATAACTTAGTCGAATTAGGAATATTTACTATTTAATTTTATTTCTGTCTGTGAATACTGTATAAGCAACGCTCATTAATTCAAGTATCTAAATGAGCTATTACAGTATCAATAAATTTAATTTTGTGAGTATAAAGAATTTTTAATATTTAAAATAGCTCATCGAGTTATGAATATTATGGAATTTGGCGAGAATAAGCAACATTTTATTAATCTAAATATTTAAATAAGTTATTCGAATTACAAATATTTACTACTATTTCATTTACTTTACAGCATTTAGCGAGTATTAAAAACATTACATTTAATTTCAATTGTTAAATTTTAAAAATACCCATTAATATAATTATTTAAAATAAACTACTCATATTTATTTGCTTTAATTTTGTGAGTATAAAGAATATTTATTAATTTAAGTTAGTTCATGACTGTTTAACATTTTTAAATTTATTATTATTTTTATTGAATATAATTTATCTTATGGCATTTAATCAGTGCTCAATTCACTTTATTCGTACAGATCACTCTTTCTGTTCCTGGTTTTGTGTGACACGTCACGCAGCAACCGTGTTTACCCAACATATGTACCCGGGTATTTCCCTAGTTCTAGATCTAGGGATATGACTCGATCATAAATTTATATGTAAAAACCGGGTTTTTACATATAAAATTTATGATCGGTCACATCTCTACCTAGTTCGCTGGGTACACTTGTGGAGGGATATATTGTATGGATATGAATATGTTTTATCATGTTTTCCCGGGTATAGAAGCATGATAGTACCATACTTAGGTACCCGGGTATAAGTCAAAAATTGGCTGTCAAACTCGTTACAGGGTACATTGCACGGGGTCTACATGTTGGGTAAATACTTATTTAAATATGTGATGAACTGCTTTCTGAATTTGCTTAAAGTATTCTTGAATATACATCCTATTGGCAATCAATGTATCTGACCTCATAATATCCTAGGTTATATGTATGATTATTTGAATATTCGAAAGTTTATCCGGATATCCGCAGCTAAAAACTGACAGTTATCCGGATGCAGCTTTTACAAAACGGTTACAGTAAAACGGGTAAAGTCAGACCCCTAAATGCAACCCCCTATGAATGCCTCCCTAAATGCACGTCTTCTCTTGGGCCCAACTAATATTACGCCTATAGATTTTTACCTCCCTAAATGCAATACCTCTCTAAGCGCACGTTTGGCTAAATTTTTACATATGGTCGCATTGCATTTAGAGAGGTCTGATCGTATCCGGATATTCGGTCCAAGCTCTAATTATTTGGCTTTGGAGATAAGAATTCATAGACAGAAATTCGTTTGATTGGCTGATGTAAATCAATTGCCCGGGTAACTTATTTATACACTTTAAAGTACTT